CTGGGTACTGAATCTGTGTTCTGTACTAGAGCAGCAAGTACTCTAAACTGCTGAGCTATCTCTCCAGCTTCCCCCATTCCGGCCCTGCCCCCAGCCCCACCGGAGCCGCGCTTCCCCGCCGGCTGGCGGGCGCGCGAGCTCTGGACGCACGTGTGTCCGCGGGGTGGGACGGGGGTGGGAGGGCGAGTGTACTCGGGGACGTGCGACCGTCCAGCCTGTGCGGATGAAAGCGCGCGGCTGCCGGTGTTGGGGGGCAAGCTGTCGGCTGCGGGAACCTCCCGTGTTTGGGGCTTTTCAATTGTGTGAAATCTCTGTAAGTGAGGCCACGTGTATGATGAGGGGAAAACTCGTATGTGTGTGTGTCTGCATGGGGTTTGTAGTTGCATTTTTTTTTTTTTCTTCTCTCCAGCATTCCAACTTGGGCACTGTTGGATTTGCCATGCGCAGCTGTCATCATGAATTAATATGCTCCAAATATATGTCTGCATGTGATAAATCTGTGGCAGCCTAGATATAATTGTGCAGAATGTTCTTTTACACCTACCCATCCCAGGGCACATGTGTTTGCATTTCTTTAATGAAGATTCTGAGAGTGAGCAATGCAGTTTGAAAAAAAGCATGGTGTAAGTTGGTTAGTTTTTATTTGTAACGATGATGGATTTTATATCTGGCTTTGCAGGAGCATAGGGCATTTCATTGCCTTTTACATTCCAGCCCGTTCCCTCAGCTGTTCTCAACTTCAGAAATTCTCCAGCCTGGAGCTGTGGACCCAAACAGGCTCAGTCTGTGTGTATTGTTGGAGTGCCTGAAATGTACCCATGGGACCTCTCCACTGGTGCCCACGGTTTAAGAAAGTAAACAGAAGTTTTCAAAGAGGAATATGGTAAGTAAAACACCCCTCTAAAGGTACAGGAAGCTGTGACCCACTGAACCTGGGGCAGGTGACAACTGGTCCACTCCCCTGCGGTACCCCTGCCTTGTTGAACTCACTTCAGAAACCTCTAGACCTTTCAACCCCTTTCAACATTGTCTGAATGCAAGTACCAGGACTGCCCTTCACTGTGTTAGGTAATGACCTGGTATATAGTGATGGTAGTACCCGGTGAAGAATTCAAGAATTAGCAACGGGACAATTGACTCCCTTAGTAAAGCCTCTCCTTGGAGTCGCATTGGTCCCCCCTCACCTTTACAGTGTCAGTGAGGGATGTCTTCTCTGGTCACAAGCAGGGTGCGTGTGTGTGTATGTGTGTGTGTGTGTGTGTGTGTGTGTGTGTATGTATGTGTATGTATGTCTCAGACGGCCTCTCGGAGAAATAGCTCTGCTGAACATTTCTGCTGTTCTCAGGCTGAGAGGCCGATGCCTGACCAGGTGAACACATAGGACTCTCACTAGGTAGCTGATGATCAGATCAAAATGCAAGGGAAGGTGTTAAAAGGAAGGCAAGGGAAAAAAACGAGCCCTTCCTGAAGAGAATTATCTCTCTCAGCATCGGGGCTGGCCTCTCCTGCCCATCTGTCTGAAAGACCAACAGAAAAAAAAAATCTGTTTACACCGGAGCCAAATCACCAAAGAGAATTAGAACCCCTCCTCCATGGTGCCGCCTGCAGATGCCAGGAATAGAGCTTACCCTGGTGGCCTGAAATAATTAGGCATCTTGCTCAGCATCTTGTCCTGGACTGGGGATTGATTTAGGCCACTGGGAAAATGAGGACCCAGGGCTTTGCAGCTGAGCTACAACTCCCCTTCTCTAGTGTGAGAATAGGGCCTCACACAGAGCGACCGAGCCCCACCTGTCCTGAGGTTCAGTTTGGTAGGAAAGGAGGTAGGGTTGCTCGAACTGATCCTTCTTTTCTTGGTCTTTCAGTGGGCTTTCTTCCCGGAGTAAACATTCATGTTTTGGGTTTTGTTGGGTTTTGGCTTAGGACCTGCCTCTATGTGTTAGGATCCATGTGTTCTTTGCGAGCTTTTTATTTATTTATTTTTTCTTGAAGTACTTTTTCCCCCAATTCTCAAAAATGAAGACTTTCATGGAGTGTCCTGGACATCACAATTTTCTGGCTTCTGCTGTAACTATGTAGTCATTCCTGGTACAGGGAAAAATAATGGTAAATCCACACAGACACTGCTGTTTACTTCTTAATCTGTTCTTGTAGCTCACCTTCCTTACAAAGAACCTTAAGTAAAAAGGAGACCCTTGGACTAGATATGAGCTGTTAAATTTCAATGAAACTTACTCCTAACCTAACTGCCACTGATTCTTGTGGCAGAAAGTTAGTATCGAACTTTTACTGTCTTCCAAACAGGTTTTCCACCAACTAAGTGCATAGGCCATGTTTCCATTTTCCTGCTTGCACCACAGAGAAGTGTGTCTGCCTCACACAGTTGTGTAGAGAAAGTGTTGGGGGTTCAATGGCCCTGGCAGGAGAACATGTAGGGAGGGGAGGAGGTGCAGAGCAAGCGTTTCCTAGCAGGGGATACTGCTGCAGTTTCGGAGTCAGGGTTCCTAATGTCCTTATGTTCCCTCTCTCTGAACCTTTGCCCTGGATAAGGGGGAGTTGAATTTAGCTTTAAGAGCGGATTAGTAAGAAGAGAATGTGAATGTTGGTGTGACAGGTGGGATGGGGGAGGTCCGTGAAGCCCAGGGCCAGCAGCTACCACTCTTAGCAGCCACTTTTCCTTGGTGCACAAAGCCCAGCCGGTACAAGTTTCTCTTCTAAAAATTACGTATAACAAACCGTAAGCTGCTTTGGTGCATGTCCAGTTCCTAATGTTGGTAAGGATGTTTTGTTTAGACTTCAATAATGCAGTTACTTTTTACTTAGTGACTTGATTTCATTAGAATTATTGAGAATTTTAATAAAAAGTTTACAGATGACAAAAGGGTTAAAGTATGGGTGTTTATTGTTTAAGGAATGTGAATTAAAGTGTATAAAGAAGTATATAGAATTAAAATGACTTATGTAATTCTAAGTGAATGTTAGCTTGATTTATAAATCAAGCAACCCAAATAATTTATTTGTAATAAGTGTTCCTAAAAATTTAAATTGTGCTTAATAAATAAAAAGAATTAGGAAATATAAGCTTCCAAACAGCATGAAATCAGAAGAATTCCAAAGTTAATGATCTTCAGATTTTTTAGGGTAATTACTGCATACCAGATCTTGTGCTAAGGCTTTTCAGATCTTATTTTTTTCTATAGTGGGATTGAACCCAGGGCTTGAGGTATGCTAGGCAAGCACTCTACCACTGAATATATTCCCAGCCCCTTTTTATTATTTTTTTGAAAGAAGGTATTGCTGTTTTGTCCTGGAACATTCGATTCTCCTGCTCTACACCCCCCACCCCCACCCCAAGTTTGTGGATTACAGGCTTGTGCCAGCACTGTGGCTTCAGGTCGTCTTTTATTACTGGTTTTTATTGGAGAGCACATTGAGAGCCCTCAGTGGGAGGAGGAAACAGCTTGGATGTGAAGTAAGGGTGGATGGTAGAGATGATTTTTATTTTTTGTTTGGCTAAATGATTTATGGTGCTACTATCTAGAATTTGAAGGACAAATTAAAGATGAGTGAATTAGAGGAGCTGGTTGTGGAAGGATGTGCTCCCGTAGGAGAGGATGATCCTCAAATCATGCAAATACACCACAGCTGAGGTAGCTCACGGGCCGGCTGCTTGCCTAGCATACAGGAGCCTCTGGGTTCAATCTCCTGCATTGCAAACAAAACCAAAAACATACAGCAGGAGATTAGCAGGCAGTTGAGTAATAGGGGCAAAAAAACCCTGACAGTATTTTTTTCTCCTTTGAGTAGTGCTTCCTTTTGAGACGTGAGCTCTCTGCTCATGACTTCAGAGGTCCACTCCTGTCAGCATCTGTAGTCACTGCTCCGTGCTCTCAGAAGACGGCCGGCTGTTCCGCTCCTCATCACCTGTGTGCTATCCCTCGTCATCATCCCACACAGCATCGCCCTGGCCTCTGGGTGGCTTTCACATTTGGCAGCATTGTGACCTTCATCTTAAGAGTGCACATTTTCAGGCACAGCCTTAGACCCAACGTTGACCTAGATGTAGGCCAGTTCTGGTAACGGGAACGTGATTGTTTCCCTCCGTGACAGCATTCCTTTATCTTTCCCACTATTCCTTAAGAAACCAGGGACTCTTATCCAAGTCCCCCCTCCTTCAGTCCTGTCTGCCTAGAAGCCTTTGTAATCCTTTCTGCCTCACTGTCCCTGGCACTCAGTTACCTTTTCACAGTGGCTTCTGGTACATCTGTCCGTCCATTCTTAATCCTGAGCTCCATTTTCTATCCCTTGTTCTTGGAAGCCCCTTGTAGACACAGTCACAAAACTTAATTATTGCCACCATATATTGTGACTGTGAGTCTTATGCAGAAACCTCGTGCCTGGTGGCAGATACATTCCTGGCCAGCTCCAGATGTTTGTCACTGACCTCCAGCCCCTGTCAGCCACAACCCTCTCTAGTTAAACAGAGGACCTGCCTTTTCCTTTACAAAGGAAAAGGGTGACGCGTCTCTGGGACTTAGCACCTGTGTTAGCTTTCTGTTAGTTTTGGTCCGTGCGTGCTTGGCCCCTCTTGCCTGTGTGCCTGTGGTGAGGAAGTACATGATAGGAGAGGGAAACCTGCGATATCATGGGAAGCTGAGAAGCAAAGAGAGAAGGGCCAGGATCTCATTATTCCCCTTTGGGGCCCTAACTGACTCCCCATACACCGCCTAGACACAGAAAAGTGATTCTTTTCCTTCTCCAAGACATTGGCCGATGTCCTTTCTCCTCTCCATTTGCTCTAGCTTCTTCCTCTTAGCCAGAAGACGTTTCTCTGGTCCCCTCCATATCTTGGATTTTTCCTCTTCAAGTCCTCTGTGTTTTTTCTCAAAACTTCCGACTTTCTTGGAGTGTGTCACAGTTCAGTGTTTATCTGCCCATCTGTGATTCTTGTATCACTTGATTTCAGTTGTGACCTCGTTAGTCTATTGAAGTGTAACTAGCTAGCAGTTGTTTCATAGATGAGATGCTGTGTCTTTAGTCCTCTAGTGACAGCTACAAACGTGGCTGTAAGGACTCATCTCCTCGGCTTCTGTAGATCCACCCTCCTTGTGCCTCTCCCCTTTCCTCTCCCACCCCTTCAGCCATCTCATTCCCTGTTTCACTTCCATCCTTTTCTGACCTCCCTGGTTTTTGGCTAGTTGCTGTGTTCCAACCTTAAACATCATGGTTCCAGAATTTTAGCGCAGTTGCTGGGTCCTTGTCGGCTAGTATCTAGCAGTCCTGCCCTAGAGGCTAAGTCTAATTTAGAAACAGTCTTAATTCCTACGTAAAAACACCAGCTGAGCCACGTGTAAATCTCAAGGGCAGTGCTTTGGTTTCTTCCCATGACTTGTCCCCGTGGCCCTCTGCCTGTTCTTCCTAATGGGGAAAACTACATGGAGACCTACCTAGCAGCATCTGTGCCCAACAGCAAAGCTCACGGTGGGTTTCAGGGACAGTCTAGTATTGAAAAAGGTAACGTAGAGCGAGAAACATAATGAGCGAGGGTAGTAAGCTTGAAGATCTGAGGTCTATTTTGAAGACCAGAAGCAGCAGGGTGTGATTGTGTACTCTCGAAGCAGAGGCAAGAGGATTCCTGTAAGCTTGAGGACAGCCTGGATACTTGCTGGCTGGTATAGCCTGGCAGTCCTGCTGGAGAGGCTGTGTAATTTAGAAAGTCTGGTTGCTCCATAAAAACAACAGTTGAGTCTTATGGAAATGGCAAGAGCAGAAATTTATATCGTAAATTGTACATATGATAGCCAGGACAGCACAAGGCTACTTTGCCTCAAACAAGCAAGTAAACAAGTCATATGAAGACCTGAATTAAATCATAAAATGAGT